CGTGGGGGCCGTGGGAGGGGAGCAGGCGGCTGTCTCCTGGGGGGCCCCCCCTTCAGTGCGTAGCCGGCGCTGCTTAGAGCCGGGTCTGTCTTGTTTTCCAGCTGATGAAGGTCGTGAATGAAATGTGCCCCAACATCACCAGGACTTACAACATCGGCAAGAGCCACCAGGGCCTGAAGCTGTACGCGGTGGAGATCTCTGACCACCCCGGGGAGCACGAAGTCGGTGAGCTCGCCCCTGGGGTGCCCGTGGCACCTTCCTGAAGAAAGGGAGGCAGTTCACGCCGTGGGAAGAGCCACGACTCAGGGCCAGCCGCCCACGCTCACCCAGTCTCTGCGAACCCGCCCTGTGAGCCTCCCATCCTGTGACGCAGCTAGAAAAGCCCCCCTCCTTCTGTCGGTGGGCCGTTTGTAACCCTCCAGCTCCCAGCCTGGCAACTAACCGAAGAAGAAAATGGCCAGAGATGGTAGGACAGAGCCCTTTTGGGAAGAAATTTCTGGGCTCCCTGGTCATTAATGGCTTGAGTTAGAGAAAGTCGAGAAAGTCCCTAATTTTTTTTTAAAAAAATTTCAATCCCATTTTCAAGTGTTTCCTGCTTTCAGCCGTTTGCCGGGAGTCATGCCCGTGCCTGTGTCTGCTTCAGGGGGCTCCTCGGGGTTTCTGTTGTGCTACAAGCCCCTGACGTGGACCCTCTTTCCCGTGTCTGGGTCCAGGCGAGCCCGAGTTCCACTACATCGCGGGCGCCCACGGCAACGAGGTGCTGGGCCGGGAGCTGCTGCTGCTGCTGGTGCAGTTCCTGTGCCAGGAGTACCTGGCGGGAAACGCCCGCATCGCCCGCCTGGTGGAGGAGACCCGCATCCACATCGTGCCCTCCCTCAACCCCGACGGCTACGAGAAGGCCTATGAGGGGGTAACGGCCACTCCCCTCCCCGATGTCACCCTGGGCCCTGGCTGCACAGTGAGCCCGGCCACCAGTTCAGGTCCACCCCGGGGCCCTGGCCGGGTAGCTCAGTGGGTTGGAACGTGATCCCGATGCCCCGAGGTTGCAGGTCCCCCCTGGTCAGGGCACACACAGGAGTCAACCAGCGATGCATCTGTGGGTGGAGCAGCAGGCCGATGGTTTTTTCTCTCTCTCTCTAAAGACAAACAAAAACACAAAATCAATAAATAGAAATACACACGTGTCGCTTCATGTTGAGTCCCCGCTGAGGCAGGGATACCACAAGGTTTATGAAAAGTTCAAAACCGAACTGAGAATCACCGGGAGCCCGAGAGGGGCATGTGCCGGCAGACCCGGGAGAGCGGCCGTGAGTGATGCTGTTAGATACACGGCGACCACAGCACAGAGGAAGGGCCCCTCACACGCGCCCGCAATCGAGGCCCGTCCTGGCCTCGGTGGTCACTGTCCTGCCCTCGTCAGTCCTCTGGAGAGTTGTATTTTTCCGACGGATCATTTATATTTCATGTGCTAATTAGGACATAGAATTTGTATAGGGCACAGTTAGGTATAGAATTATGTAGAGAAGAGAGTTGGTATTCTCTGGGAATAAAATAGAAAACTGCACTAAAAATGGTACCTATCAAATGCACGCTTTACAATATAGAATTTTGTTTGTATTTATCGATACAGGTAGGGATTTGCTGTGCCAGTTGGTTAGGGATTTGTGAGCTAGAATTGCGGGCCGGACAGGGAGGCTGTTGATTTTGCAACAACGGGCTTTTAAATTAATTAATTAATTAATTGAATTCTCACCCAAGGACACGTTTGTTGATTTTAGAGAGAGAGAAAGAGAGAAACATCAATGCGAGAAACACTGATCTGTTGCCTCCCGTATGTGCCCCGACCGGGGATCAAGCCCACAACCTAGGTGTGTTGCCCTGACCGGGAATCGAGCTGGAAGCCGTTTGTAGGGGACCACGTTCCAACCAGCTGAGCCACCCGGCCAGGGCCTGACGGGCTTTAGATTCATTTGGACTCAGGGCTCACCTGACCCGGGTGGAGACCCTCAGGGGAGATGGGAGGGGAAGGGGACCAGTGCCCCCTGAGCACCACCACGCCCAGGAGCCTCGCTCTGTGGGGTGATTGGCTGTGTTATCCACCACCCACCAAACATTATTAGAAGGCGTTTCGATGTTCTCCTCTGGGTGTCTTCTCTGGGTGAGCGGGTGTCGAGAGGCTTAGAGACACCCCCAGATGGAGACGGGGGCGTCCTGCGTGTGCTGAGTGGGCGCCGTCCAGAGGTGTGTGGGCTCCTCTCATCCTGAATCGTCCCCCAGGGCTCGGAGCTGGGGGGCTGGTCCCTGGGACGCTGGACCCACGACGGGATTGACATCAACAACAACTTTCCTGACTTGAACACGCCGCTCTGGGAGGCCGAGGGCCGGCAGAACAGCCCGCGGAGGGTCCCCAACCACTACATCGCCATCCCCGAGTGGTTCCTGTCAGAGAATGCCACGGTGAGTGAACCCCCAAGCTGCAGGCAGCGGGGGGCCAGCCCCAGCAGCCCCGGGCCTGCAGAGGGAGTGACACTGAACAACCCCATTTCGTCTTTTATAGGCTTTCCCCCAAAGTGAGGAAGTGGGCTGGGTAAGAAAATGCCTCTCAGATTGATGTTTGAGGAGATTCTTTATAAAAATCATTCAATTATATTTCTTTACAAGGACACAGTGCTTCAAAAAACAAAAAAATTCCCGATCTGGGCATGTCTGGTGGTTATACAGCTATGAAGTTGCCCTGAACCAGGAGGTCAGGGTTCGATTCCAGGTCAGGGCACAGGCCCGGGCTGCGGGCTTGATCCAAGTCCGGGGCATGCAGGAGGCAGCCGATCCATGACTCTCATCATTGATGTTTCTTTCTCTCCCTTCCTCTCTCTGAAATCAATAAAAACATATTTTTAAAATATAAATAAATAAAAATAAAATGTACACACACACATACCACCTGGTCCTTTCCAGAAAAAAAGTCTGGATTCAAGGCCCGGTCTAGCTCAGGGTTGATATATTTTAGGCCCTTGTTCTTCCATCAGGAGACACATTGTATGTGGCTATGTCTCTCTCTGTCACTTTGTAGCCACTGGTCCATGCTCACTGGAGATCCAGAATGCTGAGACTCTCGTCTATCACTCCATCTTTGTCATTAACTGGAATATTCCTACAAAAAGAAACTTCCCTGAATTTCTCTCTTTTTTAAAAAACTTATCTATTGTTGAAAGTATTGCAGACGTCCCCGTTTCCCCCCATTGACCCCTCCTACCCCCCAGGCCTTCACCGCACCACTGCCGGTGTCCATGGGCCATGCACGTGTGCA